CCCAGCAGACCCTCTGAGAACACTCAGACACATTCTCGGCTTCCGCGGAAGCATACAGTGCAAGCAGCGGATTTCACGCGCTCAAACACTATCAAACTGACAAGATCGTTCACTGTCTATAGCCGGGTACCCATTTACACCTGGGTGAAGTGAGGAAAATTTGTGCAAAGTGCCTCTCCCAAGGACACAACGTCGGGCCCCTGACGGGATTCGAACCTTCGACCTTACGGTCCGAGAGCCTAACCACTAGACCACCGACGCCAAATACCTAGACTTGATATACATTTTCTCTCCACTCTGAAATTGAACTCGGGTTTCCTGCGCGCGACAGGGTTACATCTAACCGCTAGACCATACGTGCCGGTTATGACTGTCTGAGATTTTAAACAATCAAACTGGGCCGAATCAGGACTGAAGACGTAAACCTCTAATTTCAGACACTTGTTTGACCTATTTAGTTGCAAGTGCCGTGAAACTCTTTCGAAAACTAACGAGAGATACATAATTGTTGATCACTTCTTGTAAGACCAATTTTGTCTCATGGGAATACAAGAAGTTGTTTCCAACACTATCAGAACAAACCTAAGGTGTGCTGCAAGGGCTTTCTGTGTTACGATGCACGTTTTAAAGATTGTATAAATGCGCGAGCAATCTGGCGTTAATGTTTTATATTTAAAAAAAAATTTTTTTTGGGGTGTAAAAATCTCTTCCATATTTATTCTTTTACTTATATCAAGGAACGTTCACATATATTCTCAAAAGTGTAAAATTATAAAACTAAAATTAAAATTAAAATTAACGAATGAAACTGAAGAGCTCACAAGACTGATACATATACAATGCCAGGTATCGAACTCAAAGTTCACGAGTACAATTTAATTTATTTCAAATTTTAGAATTTTAAAAGAAATTCACTTCCATCTTTATTTTTTTACGAACACCAATGAACATTCATATATTTTCGAAGGTGCAAAAATAGAAAAATTCGAATCAAAATTAAAATTAAAATGAATATATGAAATTGAAGAGCCATTAACAAATATGATACAATGCCAGGTATCAATTTCAAAGTTCACAAAGTACATTTAATTTATTTAATATTTTAAAATAATTTTTTTTTAAATCGCTTTACTTTATTCTTTTACTCACATCAAGGAACATTCACGTACATTTTCAAAAGTGTAAAAATGTGAAAATTAAAATTAAAAGTAACATTAAAATTAAGGTATGACACTGAAGAGCTCACAAGAATGATAAAGAAACCCCCAAAAACGTACGGCACAATTTTAAGATTGCCACACCTTTATACCATCGTTAAAACCTGCTGCGCATTGCGCCATCGGTAAATCGCGCGGAACATATCAAACCCCTGCGAGTGGGTGGTTGTCTGGTGCTCTGGTGTGGTTTGCTCTTTCTTTCCTATCAAACATCTATCGTCCTTATCTTCCCTTCTTCTTTTTTATGTTTGTTACTCTCTTGTAACACCTCTAATATCTTCTGGCGCTCATATAACCTTATGCAGTTGCGAGCGCCGTAAAACTTCTACTAAAAAAAAAAACACACACAAAAAAAGCATGCGAGTACTCATTCGAGTTGTTTTGCAATTGGAGTACCAACTCGACTCCAAAACCTCCGACTACTCGGATAAATACATGTACTCGAGCAAGTACTTTTTTCCCACCCGTTGAGGGCTTTTGGTAGAAACAAAATAAAAAGCGTACAATTGTCATCGTTTTTGTTTACTATTGCATTATTTTTTTTGGTACGCTATTCAAATCGTCTATATAGTTTTGATATTATTGTTTGTTGTTTTTACATCAGCAAATAACATAATATACATTTAACCGTGTGCTTAGAGTTTGAGTACTCGAATACTAATTCAATTCAAGTATTTAATGATAACTTGGACACGGATTCCAGTCAAAATATTTGGATTTGCAAACACAAAAAGTCCCCCCCCCTCCCCCCTCCCTCCTTTCCCTACCGAAAACATACATACAAACAAACAGAAAACCCCACACAAACAGAAACATTTGCTTCAAATCTCGCCTTACTTATAGTCATAATATCTGTTCAGTGCCTACGTATTTTAAAGTGTCATGAAGAGCGTCTATTTTTAGAATGTCCCTCGGAATACACATTATATCATCATGTATTCTTCCCCTTGCAGGAAGCTCCTTTGAAGAGCGTCTATTTTTAGAATTTGCCTTTCACATACTCGTATCATCATTTTGCAGGAAGCTCCGGAAGGGGTTTGGCTTCACGCGCGTGCGCAGTAGGCGTTCCTCCACCTCCGACAGCAGAAGAGCTCTGGACGAACCCCATGACGTCATAATGACGGGTACCGGCGACGCCCTGAAGCAGCGCAGGGGCCGAGATGAGGCGTTCACTATCGACGACGTGGAAGACGAGGAGGGAGGGACGCAAGTAGGGGAGGAGGAGTACTACTATGACGAGGTGTTCGGCCAATCGCCGTTCGGAGACGAGCGCACCAATACGTCGGTGCGGGAGCTAGTGAACGCCTCCGAGGAAAACGATGAGGAGATGCTGGACTTTGATTTTGAGACACTCGGGATAAAGATCGACGACTACAAGCTTGACGCTCCGAGAAAGTTCACCGTGTGATCAGGACTCGAGTATCTTTTTTTATTCTCGCTTTCTCTTTCTCCTTTCTCTCTCTCTCTCTCTCTCTCTTTCTCTCTCTCTCTCTATCTAGCTTGCTCTCTCTCTCTCTCTCTCTCTCTCTCTCTCTCTCTCTCTCTCTCTCTCTCTCTCTCTCTCTCTCTCTCTCTCTCTCTCTCTCTCTCTCTCTCTCTCTCTCTCTCTCCTTTCT